CGAAACTTTAAGAAATATAAAAGCAAACAGCATAAGATGCAAAAAAGTTTTTATTGCTACAAACAAAAATTCGCGCGCAGAGGCAAACTTGATGGATTGGACTTTTATGCCCGTCTAAACCAAATTTGGTTTCAAATTGTATTACGTATTACTTTAATGGAAGTTTGCGTAATAATCGCATCCATCATACTAATTAACTTCTTTATTTTCGCATAATACACGTCAACATTTCACATTTAATTCTATGTATGCGCCTGTTCTCTTTTTTCTGCCGCCTCATGACCCATTTCATTTCATTTTAACCCTCTGCGCGCACAGGCAATGATTCATTTGCGTTTTTTTATTTTATTTTTTTCGGCTTGAGTAAATTTTTCCCCGGGAGCCAAAAACCGATGGCGCGCATATTATTCTTCCTCGAAATAAATCTTCGTCTCTTGGCTGGCTGGCTGGTGGGAGATGTTTCCTCTTCCAGCTGAAAATGCGTTGCTAAACGCGACGACATTCCGAGCAAATAACAAGCGAAAACAACTCCCCCCGAAAAGACACAATGACAAAAAAAGTACAATGCCCAAAAGACTCTCTGGACCAACAACTCAAGCTATAAATTTGTTTTAATCATTTGCAATTAATGATCGCGTTTTTTATCTACCATATTTTCCGCGTTGCATTCCAAGCTCTTAATTATTAATATTTTCTGTTTTAGTGCTAATTAAGCATGAATTCTGCACCCAATTAAAAATAAAAATATATACTCTTGATTCCCTTGTTGAAAAGTGTTAACTGTGAATGGCTTTGCGTTTTAATAACGCCTGGGTTTATTGTGCACCACAAACAATATGTCAACGCATTCATCCGTGTGGCGTGTTTGGCGTGCAATTTTTCAATTTCGCACGCCTGCCACAAAGTTAGCCGCTACGCCGCCGCCGCCACTGCTCTTACCCGCGTCCTCACAAATATTTCACGCTCGGCAATATGTGCGATGCACTTCGACCATCCCATATTTTATTCACTTCATACACACCCACCGACACACTGCCACTGCTCCCAAAGGAGCGCGAAGCGCGTTAAATTCTTCAGCGCTGCAAACTTTTAAACTTGAATATGCAAGAAAAACAAAACGTACGGTATCGCAAATAACAAACAGACAAAACTCACTCTCAAAGTCAAAAGTTGAATTTATTTCGCATTTCATATTTTATCATATTTATACGAGAATCTAGCAGCGAGGTGCTTTGAAGCCAGACATTTGCCAATCGGGAATTGGCGAGTGAGCCGAAACACACACGAAACACGTTTTAATGAATACATTATCGCCATATACGCCTTACGCAATTGAACGTATGTTGTAGTTTCGTTTCACATTTTACGCGGCGTTTTATTAACCGTTGATTATGTTTTGTTTTATTAGTGCACGCCACGCATCCGCTTGTAATTTTCACATTACTGTTTTAAACTGAACAAAAAGCTGCATTTAATTTATTCCGCACACGTTCGGTGAGTGAACAACTAATTACGTTTAAAATTGAAGGGTAATTGTCAAATAAACGAGTTTTATCAGCAAATACGGGCGGGTGGAGAGGAGGATATTTTGAAGTGCAATGGGCGAAATATTTGCAGCGCGATGAAAGCGCAACGATGATCCATTTCCTAATGGAAATTATATAGCGCATCGCCGTATGCAACCAAATACACATGAGGTTGCCATGGAAACATGTTGATTGATTGACTGACGTCAGCTAAGAAGCGAGCATTGCGAAGGAACATTTTGTAAGCAGTACGAACCTGCTTTTAACATTGATCAAATTTTTTTAATGAAATTTTTTGTCGTTAGTATATGAATATGTTGATTGGATGAAGCACAGAGAGCGATATGTAAAACATGAAACGCGCAATCAAATCAAATGAAACTAAAATTTAAAAATTGTGTCAATAATGGAGCAATGATACTTTATAGAGTAGTGGCACATAAAATATTCCGTGTATCTACCTATTGCTCGTTGGGCAAAACATCCCATTCGATGGTCAAAGTGAGATTAATAGATTTGTACTAGCAGCGGACTCAATAATTCATCTGTCCATTAAATTTTACGAGGCATAAAACGTGCACGCGCCTCTCTTTCACACGCCCTCTGGCGGTGCGGAGCGACAAAAAAATCTAAATCGTCTAATAAAACGCGCGCATAAATTCTGCTTTAATCTTGCGTAAAATATTTACCCTCCACGTCACGGGCGGCCAGACGCAACTTTGTGCACTTTTAATCCACCACCTCGAGGGGCGGCTGCCTGCCGGAATGGAAAAAAAATATAAAATAAAAGATACACAACGACAACGAGACAGAGGATACTTTATTTCCAGCGCATTTGCCATTCACGGATTGTGTGCTTTGGTCGTTTAGAAGTAATTTTTATCATTTGAAAGCGCTTCACTTCTTCGATTCCAATTAAATTGAAAAAAAAATCGACGCAGAATTTATTTTTATTTGAAGCGCGTTTGCATTGTTTTAAATCAATTTTTTTTTCATCATCTTAGTGTTTGAATTGTTGCTAGGCGAGTGGGCGGTGGTGGATGGTAGCTGCACGTTGTTTTCATCATGACAATTAACAACGAATTAGAATTATCGAGCCGTGGAATATATTTGCATGCATAATTAATGAAGTGCCCTCGGTGGAATTAATAATTGTCGTTATACGCGGCCGTATATTTTAACGATTTTCCCATCACCTCTTTAACGCGGGCGCCTACGAAAAATTGCTGAAAGTGAAAATCAAAGCGAAAGTAAATTCGGACAGAAAACGAGCGCGGACTGTGAGCGCGCACTGCCTTTGATAATTGCGCAATTTTCGGAGCGCATTGAAAATTCGACAAATTGACAATCCAAAAATCCAAGCAAGCGTTTACAAAAGAAAGGAAATATTATATCAAATAAAAGACGAGCAAATTCACATTTTACAAGAGGAAGAATACACATATTCAAATTCATGACATTCTAAAATGAATCGCGGAGAATAATATTTTATACGTGTATATGTGTATGCTTTTTTATGTTTGAAAAAAGCTATTTGCAAGCGCTGAAGAACTTTGTGCGCGCGTGTTTTAACAAAACGTATTGTTCGCTGACAAAACCGAAATTGGGCGCTTTTGTGCCGCGGAACAATTTAGGTATTTTGGCTTTATTGCGTGGGGTGGCTTACACCTTGTTATACTTTGTTAAAAACTCCTAATGCATTTGCTGCTGGCGCTGCTAAATTATACAACACAGCAATCATGCTCGAAAGGGCAGTAAACAAACGCCTTTTAACATCGAATGTGATTACGTCCGGCAACTTGGGAGACATTCGGATGTTGATTATCTGTTCGTGGAGGCTTACCAACCTGTTCGGGCGCCCGGCACCTCCGCCAGGATTACCTATATCTCGCCATTAATTAAATTTAATTGACGCCGCTCCGCCATTGGTCGAGCCATACGATATTTTGGCCATGCTATAATTATTGGACTAATTTATATCGGGGGCTTGCGATATTTTAACGACAATATTCAATATTGTATCGAACGCCAGACTTTATAATTTAGGTAATCGTTGTTAGGAAATTATGAAATGAAAATTCACGTTTAGAATTTCAATGCAATTATTCGATGTAGCTGGTTGTTGACAGGTTGTTACATAGAAATGATACAAAATACTCGCGTGGTGTGAATAAAACAATGCAGGAAACCTGGTTTCAGTTCGTAATTTAATTTTAAAATAGCTCTCAGTTACCCCAGGGCGCTGATGCATTGTATTTTCTAGCATAATGATTGTACAGCACGCAAAGAGATGGCAATAGAGAGTGGCTAGCGGCGAGTTTTCCCATTGTAATTTTTACCTAATTGCAAAGTTGTTTTATTGCCGAGCTTGTTACTTGCAATTTATCATGCTATTTTGTTTCAACCTACTTCTTTTCATCTTTTACGTTTGGCGCCCATTTACTTTACATTCGATTCGCTCTTTTTTTTTGCGCTAACAAAATACCTTCGGACCGAGAATGTTTAAAAGTTGCACCCTCGAAAAGCGCCATTTGGCAAGCGTGGATGTTGATGCTCTGTGAAGTTTTGCACGGTTCGAGAGTTGAAAGCTCGACAAAACGAACAAGAGGGCCTGAATCTGTACTACCTCGTTGCGCTGTCGAGTTGGTTTCCTTCAGAAGCTTTTCGAGCACTGTCGGGACGTCGGACTAATGACCTATTACCCCCACGAATATGTTGGTCTACGGAGTGCCTCAGCACGAGAACTTTTCGGAATTTACCGGACTTTACAGCCTGCTGGTTTAAAGTTTTTTTTTTAGTTTTATTTTATCCGGTTGACGCTATTGAATACTGTGGTTTTCGGTTTTGGTTTGGTTTGGGGGCGAAATAGATTAACGCGTATTATAAAGTGCATCAATAAAAAACCAGCCGATGATGGGATTTTGTATTTATTCGTGACTCCTGAACGAGTATTCGCAAATTGGAAATCGAAAAGCCAAAATAAAAATGTTGTTTTTAGCAACTTGCGCGATTCGATTCGACTACTACCAGCATATAGAGCAGTTTGTTCGATTCGTTCATTAAGTATTTAGCAAAAGACCAACCAGATAAAAGAATCGTGGAGTTTAGTTTGGTTAAGTTTGACGGTTTACAGTCGAATCACGTTTTGCAGTGCGAAAAACGCTATTTACACACTGTGTGCGCTTACTGTGCAGGCAAGCATTCGATGTGAAGTAGTAATGAAGCGAACTTAAAAGCTAAAAATTATTTATTGCGATTGCTGTTTTGCAAGGGCAAATATTTGTCGGTTATCGTTCGGATGTTTGATATAAAAAATGAATTATTTTACGATCTTCATTTCCTAACGGCATCGAAAGTAATGAAAACTCCTATATATTCATTGGGTTCATGATAAGCACATAATGCTTTTGAAAACTTTGAAGGTTTTTTTTTTTATTGGAAAATGTATTGATGTTTATGTTTGTCTGTTTGCAGTAACCAAATTTATCCGTATTGGAATCGCCGATAAGAATGACAATCCACCGTACTTCGATAAGGCGCTCTACGAGGCGGAGGTGGACGAGAATGAAGATATTCAACATACCGTTCTCACCGTCACCGCCAAAGATCACGATGAGTGTAAGTTGAAATTGAATTTGACGTACTAGTTATTTACGAACATGTGGCCAAGCATTAGTCACGTTTATTTTCTCTGTTGTTGCTTTTAATCTCGATGTGCTGAGACCTGGTTTCGGTCCGATGGTGTGTAAAAGATGGGAGGACGAGAATGACGCGTGAAAATCTTGTTATATGCGATCGGCACCCGCTGATATACAATTTATGGACGCCGGTCCGGTCCGTACCCGCCGCCGCCGCCGACGGGACTGCTCTGTGTGCTTTAAATCAATACTCGTAATAACGTCGATCCTCCGCCTCACACCACGCCGGCAGCAGCCCCTTTGGAGCTGTGGTGGCTTGATGCGGTTTGGAGGTTCCAGCTTGTCCAGCTGCGAACGCCATGACGCGAGAGATTTTCGTTACCAGCTCAGCATTACATGTTTCAAACTGCATAACATCCTTCAAATTGCTCCGATCCGTAAGTCCTCCTCTTCGATGGAAATTCTCCCATCTGCTGCTCAACAATATTTTTTTCGCCGGCGCTTTTATTTTCGAATCAAGCGAATCTCGAGAACTGGTCGTGTGAGTAAATCTTGTTGTAACTTCGCATTGAATCATTTCGAAAATGGTCGTTTCATGTAAAAGCCGCGCGTGCAATTGATTCTTCTTCCTTCTTTTGCCTTCCGGCGGTGTGCGGCCGGAGTGGGTCGTACCTTGCAAGCCAAAAGCTGAGGTTTTACCTTGCATTCCAGGCAATAAACCATCCTAACAAGCACCGAGCACTTCGTTCCGCCTATAACATATCGGCTAGTAACTGCTTTCCAACGGACATAAAATAAAATCTTCGTTTTAGCAAAAACATTCAAGCAGAATATTATATTAAGGCGTTTTGTGCTGTGGGGTTATTTTGGCCTCGATTTTGTTCTGACCTCAATTATGGTTTACACCGGCGTTGTTTGTTTTGCTTGTTGGAAATATTATGAAATAAATTACAATGTGGTTATTTTGTTCACAGCCTCCCGTATTCGATACGAGATCACAAGCGGTAACATAGGCGGCGCGTTCGCTGTTAAGAACATGACGGGTGCCATCTACGTTGCCGGCGCATTGGATTACGAGACGCGAAAACGGGTAAGCGAGTTTGTGCTGGCGAAAAGCGCCTGAGCGCGTGTTTTCGCCGTGTTTTCTATCAGCTACTTTATATTCCTGCGCCGTACCTTTCGGGCGTGATGCCACGTCAATCATCATCATCGGCGAACAACGAGGGGCGAACAAAACGCGCGCAGATTGCGAATATCGTGAATTGCGATGTGCAAATCGCAGAACGTGCATCTTCATCTTCTATTGGAATTAACATTTTGTCTCTTTTTCTCCCTTTCTTCTAATCTTGCGCATGGATCAAACAGTACGAGCTACGATTAGCAGCATCTGACAACTTGAAGGAAAACTACACCACGGTGGTGATACACGTCAAGGACGTCAACGACAACCCGCCCGTCTTTGAACGGCCAACGTACCGCACGCAGATCACCGAGGAGGACGATCGGAATCTTCCCAAGCGGGTTTTACAGGCGGGTGGCGTTTTTTGCGAATTATCGACGGCTGTTATTTTTATTTTTTTTTATTATATCTTGTAGCGTATTGTTTACGTATGTCTGTTTTGTATTTAATTTGTAGTCTTTTATGTTTGTATTTTTTTTTTCGTTTCGTCACCGTAGTGTATTCTTGTTTTTTGTTTTTGTGTTTTTGGTTTGGCTTCTTGTTTTGGCATGGACGCACGCTAGTACGAACTGATATTGACGGCGTCGGACACGCTCAACGAAAACTACACCAAAGTGCGGATACACGTCAAAGACGTCAACGATCACAAGCCGGTGTTTAACGACTCCCTGTACGAAGCGAACATCGCGGAGGAACTGCTCGGCGCGTATCCGCTCAGTCTCATGCAGGTCAGACCGAATCATTTTATTTCCTCATTCTACTTTTTTTCCGATTCACTGACTCCGGAAACCTTGGGAAATGTACAATAATTTATAGGCCACGGCAGCAGCGCGTGTGTGTTTTTTTCTTCGCATTCTTCGCGTTCGTTTTTGCAAACTACGCAACTGCGCTTATTCATTTCCTATTCAAATCAAACATTGAAAACCGGGCACAATGCGCGAAAAGCGCGTGAAAAATAATAAATAGGCATCATCTGGGATTTGCTATCCTGTCACGTGGATGCGAGACATGCCATATTAAAACATCGCTGTATTATTAACGCGCACCAGGAGGCGCCTTCATCATTTCCACAGGAACCGTGCACAAGTGTGTATACCACGCGCGCTTGTGCCATTTTCCAATTGCAAATGGAAAGTTGAATAGAAGTTATCATTATAGTCTCGTGGCATCTCTGGTGGCGTGCTGAAATAGTTTCGCAGTTTCCCCACTCGATGTTAAAGCATGAACAGAACAATTGTGCTCCAACTCGTAGAGTTCGAAATTCAGCGCGTTCACTCCTCGAAGCATTGAAAATCACGAATCCAATTGTGTACCTACCGGGAACATGTTCATAATAAAAATAATTATCGTAATTACTACTACCAGGAGTTATTGAAAGTGCGCCGGCGTCTTCAAAATTTACTACCAGATGGCGTAGCACTTAAGATAGGTTATGTTAGTACCGTCTGTAGTTTGTGGAAATGATATTGGTGCACGCGGGACCGGTGGCTGGTTTACCCTCCAGGTAATTCGTATGTATTAGTCGTTGTCTTGTCGAGCGTCGCGGAGACGAAATTCGATTAGTCCGGAAGAGCTTGTCGGCGACGAGGGAGCTCCAGTTCGCCACTATCAGGCGGCACCGCGCGGCGGTTTGCTTCGTGTTTCGGGGAGTGTGCTTTCGTTTGTGCAACCGCCAACGCGGCCCCGACCGCAAACCCCACAGGTAGCATGAAATAACCGGGGCTAACTAGCGTTAGTCCTGATTTACTAGGCGAAATGCATCATTTGCATAAGCAAAAATTAAATTTCAGCATCCCCAACGAGATTATACACTGCGCTAATTAATTCAATGAGCGATAACGTCGGTTAAGACGCGAAAAACAACGGAAAGCTGAACTAAAGTTCAGGTTCAAGATTTCGCCCCGTCTTCGTCTCGGAGTGTTGGAAAAGTTTGCTTTTCTGCTTCGATAACCCGCTGATAAGGGATGAATATTGAGCACGAAACTAAATGGGCCTAAAATCAAGCGCGGAGAGAAAACGTTCGGCTCCGAGGATAGATCGAAAAAGTGTAGCTGAAAGTTTGGACAACATTGGCATACGATTAACCTGGATAAAATTTTGCACGCTTTTTGTGCGCGCGCGTTACACATTTATTTTACTCTTTTTCATCCCACGTGGTTTTATGTGTGTTTACGTATTTGTGTGTGCGTGTGAATAGTGTTTGGATTGTCGCCAGATCGACTATACTCCACTCCCCGCTCTCTTCTTTACTCCGAAACTTTTTGTCTTCTTGTTTGAGAGTGTTTTTTTGCTCTATTCGTGTTTCTGTTACTGTGCCCGCTTCTTAAGTATTGATGCACAATGAAAACGCGTTTTTCCTTTCGACATATCGCACTCTCGACGCTCCTCGTGCGCACCGTAAGTGTCGGGGGCAGACGGTGGCGGGCGCAAAAAGCAAAGCAGAATATTTATTTGAGGCGCGTTTGCCAGCTACATCTGTTACACACCTTGCCGGGCGCCTATCCATCAGGTGTGCGAAAAGAGGTATAAAACGCTATAAATCACGCTGGCGTAAAGCTCCAACCAAACCTTGAGCGAATCAAACGAAGCTCGAAGAATCGCCGAATCGACGTATCGACGAATGAAAAATATCCACCCACGTCGTGGCGGGTAGTAGTCGTCAGAGGAGGAGAAAGCAAGCAAAGCGGCGACAAAATTCGCAATCGTTTTTTACAATTTATCACAAAGCAGCGCGTTTGGTGCGCGCACCAGCGGATCCTTGCCGATACATCAATTTCGCGCACACGTTTGCAGTGATTTTACATTTTTTACACTCAAATTTCCGAGCGCAATCTAACTCATGAGCTGCATGAAACAACGTAAAGTGTAGCAAACGTGCACGAGTGCATTCTTTCCCGGGTACTCGCAGTTGCGCACTTGTTTTTACTCTTTATTAAATTTACGAATGCGCGCTGCATGCATCTGAGCGCGAAAATTCCAGCCACGATGCGATGCTCGATATTGCGCGACGCAAACAGCGCCTCCACCATCTTGTTCCGCAAACAAGACGAAGAGAATTCGCCGCGATGCGTGCTAAAATGTTTGTGCACTGTAGCAAAATGTAGAACAAAGTCTGGCGCAGCTTTGCGCGCATGTAGGAAATGTCTCTACAAATTTGTTTACCCTCTAACTGTTTGCGCTCCCACTTAGGTAGAACTATTGGTTGTTTTATCTCCGATGTCGGTTTTTATCATTTGAATGTGTATGTTGTTCAGATGCGTCGTTGTTTGTGTTTGAGTTGAGTTGAGAGAATCGGTCGTGAGCATGTGCTGTGTTTCTTTGTTTTATTTTTGCGGGGAGAAAATAAAGCGTGGGCGAGGAAGGGAAATAAAAGGAAATTGAATTTGTGTGTATCAACGCGCCGGAGCGATAGACTGACTTGGTGCTGTCTCGCAATGTGCAGGTGACGGCGACCGACGGCGATAAGGACCGGCCGCAGAATATCGTCTACTTCTTGACCGGCCAGGGCATCGATCCGGACAATCCCGCCAACAGCAAGTTCGACATCAACCGCACCACCGGCGAGATATTCGTGTTGAAGGTAAGTTTCATAGGCATTTGCACAATTTATTCATAGGCGATGAAAAGCCCTTGGCGTAACGGGAAATTCTTTTTATTCGACTTTTTCCATATTTATCTCAAACATTTAGAAATATACCGGAACTTACTTACGGCATTCCGTGAAGCGTAGAGGGAATCTTTGTACTTTTCGGGATAACTCATGAATATTTCCTTGCTTGAGGCATTTTTGCCTTTTCTCTAGGAATTTCGGAGGATTTAATTTCAAATTACCAATACTCGTAGATTTATGCGCGCGCCGGCGCGTGAGCTATCAATGCTCCGTTTATCTCCTTTTCATAGGTTTGATAATGTAACGGAAGTCGGATGAATGCTCGCGCATTCGCCCTTCCGACTGCGAAAAAACTGGAAATTAATGCGTCGCGTATTTTTCCCTAGCTACGGCCTTGGACTGCCTTTCAAGCTGACGTGAAAGGATTAGGCTATTTCGCGGCTTGGACTCGACCGTCCTACGATCTCTCATTGTTCATTGTTATATCTCTATTACATCTTGCTATCAACGTCCGCCCCTCATGCCTGGAACAAATAGTTTGTGTTCATGCCCGTCTGTCCGAGGTGCATTTATCTCCCAACCGAATAAATAAGGCGCCGAAATAATTTGTCCTTTTCATTGCGCGCCTGGACACGTTTTTCTTACTTTGGGCTCTCCGGAGACCTCCCCTCGCAGGTTACCGTTTGATTTATATTTAATGCTCGTGTTTTTATCGTTGTGACGTGCGAACTAGCAAAACAGCATTTTGCCGTTGTTGTTATCCGCCGCGTAATCTCTCGTGTACGTGTCTGGAACGCCCAAAATGCAATGCGACGTGTTTTCCTTCCACAGCCACTGGACCGCGACCAGCCCAACGGACGGCCCCAATGGAGATTCACGGTGTTCGCACAGGACGAAGGCGGCGAGGGTCTCGTGGGCTATGCTGATGTGCAGGTGAACCTCAAGGACATCAACGACAACGCGCCCATCTTCCCCCAGGGTGTGTACTTTGGCAACGTCACCGAGAATGGTACAGCTGGCATGGTGGTGATGACGATGACCGCGGTGGATTACGATGATCCGTCAGAGGGCACCAACGCACGATTGGTTTACTCTATTGAGAAAAATGTCATCGAAGAAGAAACAGGTTCTCCGATTTTCGAGATTGAGTCCGAGACTGGTGTCATTAAGACGGCTGTGTGTTGCTTGGATCGCGAACGTACTCCTGATTATTCCATACAGGTTGTCGCGATGGACGGTGGGGGGTTAAAGGGTACAGGGACAGCTTCGATACGTGTGAAAGATATAAACGATATGCCGCCGCAGTTTACTAAAGATGAGTGGTTTACCGAGGTGGACGAGACTGATGGAGTAAACCTTCCCGAAATGCCGATTCTGACAGTAACCGTGCATGACGAGGATGAGACGAACAAGTTCCAGTACAAGGTGATTGAAAACAGTGGTTACGGTGCGGACAAATTTACAATGGTGCGCAATAACGACGGCACCGGTTCGCTGAAAATCGTTCAGCCTCTTGACTACGAAGATCTCCTGCAGAGCAACGGTTTCCGTTTTCGAATACAGGTGAACGACAAGGGCGAAGACAATGACAACGATAAATACCACGTAGCTTACTCGTGGGTGGTTGTCAAGCTGCGTGACATTAACGATAACAAACCCCAGTTTGAACGGCCGAATATTGAAGTGTCAGTTTTTGAAAATGCCGAGGTGGGAAAAAGTTTAGAAACTTTCAAGGCGACCGATCCGGACCAGGGTGGTAAGAGTAAGGTCTCGTATGCCATCGATCGTACATCAGATAGAAAGCGGCAATTCTCAATTAATCAAGAAGGCACTGTTAGCATTCAGCGTTCCCTGGATAGGGAGGACACTCCTCGGCATCAGGTCAAAATTCTTGCGATTGATGATGGAGTTCCACCGAAAACTGCCACCGCCACACTGACCGTTATCGTGCAGGACATCAACGACAATGCGCCGTCCTTCCTGAAAGATTACCGCCCCGTTCTTCCTGAACACATTCCACCCCGGAAGGTGGTGGAGATATTGGCAACCGATGATGACGACCGGTCCAAGAGCAACGGCCCACCGTTCCAATTCCGGCTGGACCCCGGCGCGGATGATATTATTCGAGCGTCGTTCAAAGTCGAACAGGATCAAAGTAAGTACACAGTTTGTTTTTATTTCCGGATTTATTGTGTGATCCTCCGCGATTATTATTTTCAGAGGGTGCCAACGGTGACGGTATGGCGATCGTGTCGTCGCTGCGCTCGTTTGATCGCGAGCAGCAAAAGGAATATCTAATTCCGATTGTGATCAAGGATCACGGTAACCCTGCGATGACGGGTACTAGCACGCTGACCGTTGTGATTGGTGACGTCAACGATAACAAAATGCAGCCCGGGTCGAAAGATATTTTCGTGTATAACTATCAAGGCCAAGCGCCGGAAACTGAAATTGGGCGCGTGTACGTGTATGACCTGGACGATTGGGACTTGCCGGATAAGAAATTCTACTGGGAGGGTACGGAACATCCGCGTTTTAAACTCAATGAAGACACCGGTATGATATCAATGAAGCACGGCACGCGCGACGGGAAATACCACCTGCGGTTTAAGGTCTACGATCGTAAGCACACGCAGACCGATGTACCCGCAAACGTCACAGTTACTGTCAAAGAGATACCACACGAAGCGGTGATAAATTCGGGCTCGGTGCGGATAGCGGGTATCACAGACGAGGACTTCATCCGGATATGGAACTACAAAACGCAGTCGCTATCAAAGAGTAAGGCGGAGAAGTTTAAGGATAAAATTGCGGAACTGTTGAAAACCGAGCGCGAAAATGTGGATGTGTTTAGTGTGCAGCTAAGGAGGAAACATCCGCCTGTGACGGATGTGAGATTCAGTGCACGCGGGACGCCCTTCTTCAAACCCGTCCGTCTAAACGGTATTGTATTGATGCATCGTGAGGCTATCGAACGCGAGGTGGGTGTAAACATCACAATGGTGGGAATTGATGAATGCCTCTACGAGAATCAAATGTGCGAGGGCTCGTGCACCAACACGCTGGATATCAGTGCCTTGCCGTACATGGTCAATGCTAACAAGACCTCACTAGTGGGCGTGCGCGTAGATGTATTAGCAGAATGTACCTGTGGCGCAAGGAACTTTAGCAAAGAGGAAAACTGCCGCAACAACCCGTGTTACAACGGTGGACGGTGCATGGAAACCCGCTATAGTTTGACATGTTCCTGCCCAGCTGGGTACAACGGACCACGTTGCCAGCAAACATCAAGGAGTTTCCGAGGAAATGGTTGGGCTTGGTATCCACCTCTGGAAATGTGCGACACATCGCACTTGCACTTTGAGTTTGTCACCAAGAAGCAAGAAGGTTTGCTGTTGTACAACGGCCCGATTGTTCCTCCAGAACCAGATGAGGAATTGGTCTCTGACTACATTGCAGTTGAGTTAGAGAAGGGTTACCCACGTTTGCTCATTGACTTTGGATCTGGTACTCTTGAACTTCGGGTAAAGACAAAGAAAACTCTTGATGATGGCGAATGGCATAGGTTGGACATTTTCTGGGACACAGAAAATGTGCGCATGGTTGTTGATTTTTGCAAGTCAGCGGATATTGCCGAATTGGAAGATGGCACTCCACCGGAGTTTGATGACAGCAGTTGTCAAGCTCAAGGCACGATACCGCCGTTCAACGAATATCTCAACGTAAACACCCCGTTGCAAATCGGAGGGCTATTTGTCGATCAGTTTGATCCGTTGACGTACCACTGGCAATCTATGCCCGCTGCGAAGGGATTTGATGGTTGCATTCGTAATCTATTCCACAATTCAAAGCTTTACGACCTGGGCGTTCCCGGCTTGTCGCGGAATAGTGTTGGGGGCTGCCCCCAGACCGAGGAGATGTGCGGTCGTTCTGACACCACATCGCGCTGCTGGGAGCATGGCACGTGCATTGGTTCTTTCAACGAGGCTAAATGCCACTGCAAGCCTGGTTGGACGGGTCCGGCATGCACGATACCGACGATTCCGACCTCGTTCAAACCACAATCGTATGTAAAGTACGCGCTTAGCTTCGAGCCCGATAGATTCAGCACGCAGATTCAGCTGCGATTTAGGACCCGTGAAGAGCACGGCGAACTCTTCCGCGTTTCCGACCAGCATAACCGCGAGTACGGTATTTTGGAAATCAAAGACTCTCGCCTTCATTTCCGCTACAACCTGAATTCTTTGCGTACCGAAGAGCGCGACATTTGGTTGAGCGCGGTCGCCGTGGATGATGGGCAATGGCACGTTGCGCGGGTCAGCAGATACGGATCAGCCGCCACGTTGGAGCTGGATGGTGGAGAAGGACGTCGCTACAATGAGACCTTCACGTTCGTGGGTCACCAATGGTTGCTAGTCGACAAGCAGGAGGGAGTTTACGCTGGTGGCAAAGCGGAGTACACCGGCGTGCGGACGTTCGAGGTCTATGCGGATTATCAGAAAGGTACACTCAATTAAATCCTTAAACCCCCCTTTAACAATCTGACCTCTTCACTGCTGCCCCGCTTGCCAATTCCACTCAGCACACTCATACACCCGGCATAACTGCTGGTTAAACGCTCATATATACTGCAAAGTGGGATCAAGTCTGAAGGGCTTACTGAAAATCGTTTTTCTGTGTTTTCTGGCAGGATGCTTGGACGATATCAGGCTGGAGGGCAAGCACTTACCGCTGCCGCCGGCGATGAACGGCACGCAATGGGGTCAGGCGACGATGGCGCGCAACCTCGAGAAGAACTGCCCGTCCAATAAGCCCTGCGCGAACGTGATCTGTCCGGAGCCATTCGAGTGCGTCGATCTGTGGAACGACTACGAGTGCACGTGAGTCAACGTTATTTTTCCGCCTCTCGGCCTGTTTTCTCCACTCATTCGATATGTAGCGCCATCGACAGCAAACGAAAACGAACACAACAAACAGCACTCTTCCGAGTTTGGTTCATTTCGTTTACGAATCGTTATTTTCGCAGAGAATAATTGCTTCTACATCCTTCTCGGCTTTCAGTCTCGGTGAAGTGAAGTGTATTCAATTTTACGACCAGCGCACAGACGCACAGTCTACGCCTCGGTTTTTTTATCATTTCATAATTTGTTTCTGGCGAAGAGCCGCCTGGGCGAGAAAGGATTTAAAAGCAATTAATATTTATGATTTTCATCCATGCGAACGGCGGCACTGAGTTACATCTTACCAACTTACTGATTTCGTACCAATTATCATTTGGTTCGCATTTTCGTTCTTCTACGCCGAACGCGCGCGCGGTTTGCGTTGGTTTGGTTTTGGTTTTGCTATGGTTTGCATTGTGTTCCATTACGTTTTCTCTTACAATCGAATCTTATCGTTTCTTAACACAACTATAACTTTCTAAAACGTCTTCTTCTGCGTTTGCGCTATTCTTTGATATTCCTTTTGGTAATTATACGTAACCTACATTTGTTTTTCTTCCAACATAAAGTTTTCATCTTTTAAGAGGGATTATTTATGAATGCATGGTGTGAGCAGGCAGAGTAAAAAAAGCCTCATTACTTTGCGGCCGTGCGGTCGCTTTATTCATTACCAAGTTTACATTCTGTTTACGACCGTGAAATTATAATTTATAATCGTGACGAAAAGTTTCACGCGTAATTAACGCTCGGATGTCGTCCCCTTTGAGTTTTTGACTCTTATACTTTACTCTTACTCTTATCCCCCGACCATCGATTACACGATTAACTTGATGAAGTTCATCATACGAAATATTTGATGAAAATAAATGCTGCGCATTAAATTTTTATTTTTTCTGCGTGAAATACTGAAACGTTGACATTTTTTGCCTCACAATTTGCATCAATATTGAAGTTTTAAACAGAATGACGTCCGTTGTGAAACAAGTTTATGGCTACAATGTAAAAATGTATGGCCTGCGGCGCAGCGGAGCCCCGAGGCTCTCGTTGCGTTGGCGATGTCGGTGGCGGCTGATGTATGGCATACGCATTTGTTTAAATCCGTTCCAAATCCGTTCCGCACACAGCCGTTGTTTATTCCGATAATAGAAATCTTTAACGGCAACGGCACGCATTATTAACCAACGCCGATGACGATGGTGATAGCCAACTACAAATTGTGTAGGCCCCGCAGGAAAAAAATTTATCAACTTTTATTCGGCCAGCAGCGCGCTCATGTTTCCATTTGCATTTATGACAGCGGTGTGCGACGTGCGCACGCTATGTGCGTATATTTTACATTTTGCGGCGGCGGCGGCGCGCGAACGATTTATTTCATTATTGCCGTAGCGGCTTTTAAGGGACGCGCGAGGGCTCTGCCGCGGTTAATGCCGTTTGGCATCGGGAAAAACCTTTGGCGCGACGGCGGTTACGGAGTATATGAGGGTTTTTCGTGTTATTACGTGCCGTCATGCGTTGCGACATCGGCGCGCGGACCCACAATCCGCCCCCACACCACCAACGAAGCCCTAAGCTCCGGCAGCTTGACGACAACAGCGCGAGCGCGAAAATTTAGAGCGATGCGAGCAAGAAACTAGCATAATCTATGTGCCGTTGTTGTAGTTTTCGCCGCTCCGCTAGCGAAAAACGGTTATTTTCATCCCTCCGTTTGGACTTTAAACAAGCAACATTCCGGAAAACCCGGTTACCAAGCCCGATCTTTATGCTGTTGCCGAGCAAGTTTACTACGTGAAAAACAAATGTTAATTTAAGCGAAAATATTTCAGAAAATGCATTAGCTACCGAGCTACCAGCACACTATTTCAACTATTGCACACACTCGGAAAACCCAAAAGGGGACTATTTTTCCACGCCCCCGGGCATAATTGTATCTAATTAAAGGCGTACGTTTCGGAATGATGAAGTGTAACACCCTCAGGGTTGGTTGCGGTGGCAGCACGATTACAACAATCGCCGTGAAAGGTAATTAGGCGTTGCATGCACGCCTATTAGATATAATTACTCTTCGTAATTAATAATTCGCCCATCGCTTTTGACGGCGGCATAAGCGGAATATTTCGATTCCGTCGCAGCATGAACTAGAATCATTTCCAAAAACAATTTTAACTGTTATTCCAACTATGCCGGCGCGAACGTTTAATCGGGCTAATTAGCGTTGCCTGCCAGATAAAATTCTAACTTTGATTCGCGCACATTCGCTAGACTAATTAGTCACTATTATATCTGACGCTATTAATTTCGCGGAATTAAAACGTTTAAAACAATTAATCATGATTTTATGCAAGTAATTGAATTTTTATTTGCCGCGTGAATAATTTAACATAAATAATTGAACGTTTCACCGCGGGCCGATAAAAATGATTGGGTGTAGTTTTTATGTTTGTTTGTTTAATTGGATTATATTAATATCCAATCAAATTTCATAATTGGCAGCGCAAGCAGCGGCATAAAATTGCTTCCGAATCAAATTTTATTTTATGCTGGTAAACTATGCCGCTGGGAATTCATATAAAAATAAAATAAAACCGATTGATTTGTTTGAGTTACCTCTGCATTCGCTGTACACTCGCTGTGAATAACACATGAACGATTTTATTTGCGGTGGCAACGTATAAATTATTATTTCAGCTCGTATTTATACTCGAGAGTGCAGCATTGTTGTCGAAATGTTTTTTATTTTATATATTTTTATTAACGGAATCATTGAAAATTATTGTTGAAGGAAAACTCGTCATAAAATCGAGGTGGCGCGAATCGCCATTGTGATTTGATGAAAAACCCAACTCGACCACATTGTTTGGCATCCCGTGTCGCGATTTATGTAATATTCAATATTTCATGCGCACATATAAATCAATTTTAGCGGGCGCCGGCGGTACCCAAGCGGGCTTGCAACAAGATAACGTCAAAAGTTTATTATAGAATGAATTGCATGTGGCAGCCACGCGCGAACATTTCGTATACACCTCAATGGGAGGACGAGGTCAAAAAATAGGTTATGTGCACGAGTGAACCGGACTCGATTTTTGGTATTTGGTTATCTGTGAATATGTGAACATTCGCATGCTGGTAGGGTGGAATGTGCAGTTAATATCAAAGCGCATTTCATTATTATTAAATCCGACGGATCTATTTTTCGCGTTTACAATTTAAAAGTTTTTTCCATTATGAAATAATTTTGAAGAATGTAGTGCGCTCTTTGTGTTGGATTTACATCCCAGTTGGAGAACTTTAATAATCCTTTACTTCCAGCCATCGGCTTATTGAAATATTTTACGTCCGAAACATAAAACGAATTTATCTACTATACTACTATACGGGGATTTCACGCGCGAGAGTAGTGAGCAGAGTAAGGACGGCGACGCGCCATCGACTTTAACCGCAGGCGTCATCTTGCTAAGCGGCTACCATCGCCCGCCACCGCTGTGTGCTCAACTAAGCTTTTAACGTCATTATTAATGACTTAAATCTTTGGCGTGAATAATAAACCGCATAAATCTTGGGGCGGCGCGCGCGCCCGAAAAACGAAGAAATTTAAAAATTATGAAAATTATACACTGTGCCAACTACGAAGCGCGCGCGCGCGTGTGGAAACTCGAAGAACTCGACAAAACTTTAAGCGTTGCGACGAGAAATCAGTGTGCGCATTTAAAGTGGCGAAAAATGACGCGGAAAACGAATTATCGACGTTTTCGATTATGCGATGGCGATGCGGCGTCGTCCATTGTTCGCAGAAATTGCAATTTAAACTAGACAAAAGTGGACAAAAGTGAGGCAAAGTGGTCGAAAGTTTACGGCTGGAAGTTTATAGTGAAATGTGCACAAAAGCGCGTTTTTATCGTGCAGATTTTAACGCGATTAGAGCGCGTTTGTTATACGAATTCGATATTGTGGCGAGCAAACATTCAATTTTGACGACGATCACCAGGGAATGCGTTTTGCAATTGAATTTTAAACGTTTGTAATAAAATGCGCGACTATGAAATATCAATTTAGTTTTTCCGCGGTGTGAATTACAGTCGCGGCGTACTCGTATATTTCTGCCTGTTGTTTGATCGCATTCCCCAGTTTATATGCATTCTGCGTAGCAGCGCGAATTGTTTGTGTACTTTCAATAGCTTAGTCGAGAATTAATTGTCTGCATTCGCAACGATTGTGGTTTGACCTAAACAGCAATTACCATCAGCGTACAAGGACAAATTCATCGAATGACCCATTCGGTCTTCCTGTGTACAAGTGATCTATTACAATCAAATTGAATAATTACAATGACGATCAGCGAAATTTGCAAATCATTTATGTTTTGTATAAATAAATATGTAATTGGTTGAATCCCGGCTCTGGGAAATTTTTGATGAATTGCTTCCAGTCCAATCGCGATTAAATCTTGTTTAATTTCATTAATTTCACCATTGCGCGGGTATTTAATTAAAACGATTACAAATACTCGATCGATTTCGAACATGGCGCATCAAACGTTCAATTAATTGATGGAAAACCTCCGCGCCAACGAAAAACTCGATTATTATTGTTCCATCACGAAAAACCGAATTGATGAATTAAAATATCGAACGTGATTGACAGTAATTCATCGGGGATAAACTTTAATTAGATGAGGCGCTCAGATCCAATGTAATTATAATTTATTGCTTCCGGTTGATCAGCTCTGTCAATTGGATTAATGCAAATATTGGAGTTTGACTGTGCGGCCTGATTGCTTTGAGATATTGAGCAAATTTAATAATTTGCTGCAAGTAACAGGTTTATGCATTATAGAAAGATACAAACAGTGGGATATGATTCATCGCGCGTGTAATTGGAGCCGAGTGAAATTGGTAAAGTCGTCTGGCGTTTATTTAATTAGCAAAGTTATGGCTGGCTGCATGCTCGTCGCATTTAGCAACTCGATAACACGTAATCCCGTCGCTAATGCGCGCTGTATTAAATCAACGAACGAACGTTGGTTGTTAGTTGTTTAGTCGAGACTTTAAAATTGTTTGCACTAACTTGCGAATACGTCTTATAAGTGAAGCGAAAGTTTACCATAAGAATATAACTTGGGAAGACAACTCGACGGCTGGCAATTTTGAAATTTTCGCTTAGATCTTGTAACATTACATCGGTTAAATCGCACATAAATTATGATATTCTCAAGTTAAAACTTTTTTTCTGCTTTTTAGAAAAAAAATTATATAGTTGCAAAGGTAGTCATCAAAAAAGTAGGCAGGTAATCCAAAGCATGTGTTTATATTTTTGATGAGGTGCATTATTAGTGTCGTCATTGCGTACAAACAAGTTTTTTTCTTTGCGTTTTGCGCGCTGTTTGCGGTAGCTGGTTTGACTTTACTTCGTCTCTCGCAATACAAAAGTTTAATACTTTCTTTCATAATGTTTAATAGGAAAAGTTTGCGTTGCGCGTAAAAGCACTCGCACTCGTACTCGTATACACGGCTTATTCTCAGCTGAAAAGTGCTGAATGTACGCAAGGTGTAAGAATGGAAAATTGCGAGCGAACCGCGCGCGCGGCGTAATGCGACTCACCGCAAAAACGACAAAACCACAAAAAAGCATAACGAAGAAAAGTGACAAAATTCATAAATAATAATGAGGGATGCGGAATAAGAAATGAAGCAGAGCAGGAGAAAAAAAGCTTTACGGACAACAAACGAGAAAAAAAGTTATTTTTCAAGTGAAATAAGAAAACAGCGAAAAAATCTGTTTACATAATGAGCTACACACAGAGAAAACGAATCAGAAAAAGTGTCAAGAATTTTATTCAAATTATATATTTGTTTATGTCGCCTAGTTGGAGTTTTACAATGTGCATAAAATGCAAACGACCAAAAATTAATTGCGTGTTTGCATTTAAATGCAAAATTAAAACGTATATTTTTTTATCGCATCTTTTTTTTTAAACGCGCTAGTTTGATGCTGATTTGTTTGGAAGCGTAACGGAGGTTGAATGCAGAGCGCAAACATAACTTCGTCGTTATGCGCCTTAATCTGGTGTTACTGATGTTGTACGCGGTAATGTTGTTGATATTCATAAGATTTCCCTCAGCCATAAAGGGACGCGGTGGGCTCTTGGGCAAACAACGCCTGGAGAGCCGACTCGTGATTACAACATTCTGGCTGACAATTCATGGCGAAAACCCTTTTTCGGTCTATGAAATGGACTAGTACTCCCTGGATACGATCAAATTAATAGCACGGATTTTTAAACAATGCATAACCTCATTTTGACGATGCGCAGCATTTATTACCATCGAATTTAGGTAGATTATATGAATTATTTAAATCTTTCGATATTGTTTCGTTAATTATTCACTTGTTTACATCACACACGATTTACATCACACTTCATTCAAGATCATTCTCGGCTAGAGCAAAAATCGTGTGATCATTTTGATCATAAATGTTTATTTTCCTAATGGTAACGGCGCAGTTGTGGAGAGGGGCGGGTCATGTCTCCTGATAGCAAGGACTGCATGGATAAGGACGAGTGCCTCGACTTGCCCTGTCTGAACGGCGGCACTTGCATCAACCAGGAGCCGCGGCTGCGCTACCGCTGCATCTGTCCGGATGGTTTCTGGGGCGAGAACTGCGAGCTTATTCAGGAGGGCCAGACGCTCAAGTTGAGCATGGGCGCGCTCGCCGCCATTCTCGTCTGCTTGCTCATCATACTCAGTAAGAGCACCAGACTAACAATCCGAATCTCTCACGCTCTTAGAGCAACCACCCACCTAGTCGGATAAGATCCAGCCATAGCCATAGCTCACTGACTCGAATCTCTTTGCTTCTATTGCATGCCGCATGGGTTTTGTAGAATATTTTAGAGTGCGGTTAGAGGCGTTGAATTGCGCGAATAATAAGTGGTTAGGTATATATTGTATTGTATTGTGTGTGGTGGCGGTTGATGAAAATGCGACGTTGGGAAAAGTGTGGCTGTCATGACATCGAAGATGTTTATGCAAATCGAGGGTGAAATTTATCACGCCTACAATTTTCGTTTTTCTCGCGTTCGATTACATGTCACTTTCACATCGCTTCGAGTTTCAACTGTCGTCGGTCTATTAAAACGCCCAACAATCCCACCACGACCTCAGTATCAGCACATCGGCACGCTGGCGCACAACACATCAGCCATTTTGGTCGCCATGTTGTTGACAACCGAATTTAAAGTGATTGATTATTGTCCTCGATACAACACGCCATCCCAACACGAATTAAAATCACACTTCAACAATCAACGCGAAACACAAAAACGTGCTTGGTGCTTGAACTTTTTCATAATGGCGTTATCAAAATGGCGTCATTCGATCACCTGTTCGGCAGTTTTCATTATCGGTTGACTGTAATTTAATGTTATGCAGCGGCCTGACAACGTCGTCATATCCTGTCGAGTTTAATAACTGCACTCTGGATGCGCAATTATCCATGTCGCTATTTGGTTCACATGCGCGCGACGAACGAGATGCACCTTGTGCAAACATGGCGACGGAGTGCATTAATTCCGGTGGCGGTGACTCGACAAATAGGGCAAATGGGACAAATAGGCTGCCGGATTGACAGATATTGGTACAGCATCGTAGGACACATGTAATTACCGTCAAGATTCAATTATTATGCATCTATGCAGTGGCTACAATTGGAATTTTGATTTAGTACTGCGATCAACACAAATCCAATCTCCCCCAAACCGGTAACACACATTTATTGACATATATTTTATCAATGATATTCCAATCAATTTTGATGATGTCCCCTGATGACAATTAATGATTAATGGCGGCTAGGCTCAAAATTGTCTATATACTTTATAGTGTCGGTGCCTAAGTCAAAGTTTCCTTGATACAAAGTATCCCACAGGTTAGAAACTTATCTAAGCCTTTGTAAATCGACCCGTGCGAAATTTGTACAGCCACACACAAGAACAAAACTCAATTAAACTTTAATTTGAAAGTTTCACTTCCGCCTTCACTGCCACGCCGCCTGCCATTAATATTACTCATATCGACGCAGGCATTAGTGCGGTTTTGTGCGTGTATTGTAGTTCAACGTTTTCTAACTCTAGTGACTAGTAGTAGAATTTGCATGCGCATGATTAGAATTTAGGCCTCTCTTCTTGTCAAAACAACGCCGTGAAATTCGAACAAATCTCAGTCACCGGTCGTTGTCGTCGCAAAGATGGAAATATGGGTATCTTCTGCTGCTGCTACATATCGATTGTTCGCGACGGTAAGTCATCTGAATGTCTCTCCGTATCTAGATGTCCGCAAGGCTACAAATTCCACGAGAGCACCTGCGTCAACGAGAACGAATGCATGTGGACGCCATGCATCAACGGCGGCATTTGCAAGGACTACGACCCTCCGGTGCGGTACGAGTGCGTATGCCCGCTGGGCTACACCGGCGGCCATTGTGAGTTAGAGCTCCTGTCCGCTGGTGCGATTATGCCGTCCAAGGACTTCATCATCGCGTTTATCATTTGCGTGCTGACGCTGCTAGGTAAGCCCGTGTGTTTCTCGGTGTTTTGCAATCAATGAACGCAAGATGTCGACCGCTGAAAAGGGTTAAGGTTAATTGAATGAAACATCACCTAGGAGAACAAAGCGTAAAGTTTCAATTTTAAACGTTTGATCGATTCAAACGCTGTTCTGTTCGCAATTGTGAACGCGAACATGATGGTGCCGGGAAGGAGGTAAAACAGTATTTGCATTTAAATAAATTTCTGCCGGGACCCACCCGCGGGGTCCAAAGCAATTTATTTATTTATAAGATTTGAATGCGCACTTGCGCGAATGTGCGGGAATGGAAATGCGGGGTTGAGAGTGGCGTTGCTCCAATTTTCATAAGCGGCCGTCAGGCATGAAGAAATTGCGGAGGCGCCTGGCTGAGGCGCACGACTGCGCGCGATGTGGAATGATAAATATTAAGTTTTACCATTGTGGCGAAGTGTCTCGAGAGGATTAATTTCTTTGCGGACGCGCTCTCATCCCGCTGCGGGCGCGCGTCGATTTAGAAACAAACAAAATCAGCAGCCGTAGCAGCAGGACGAGCGACGAACGTGATGTCATTTCGAAATTACCGAAAATCGCGCTTCGCTTCGTTTTGTTTCGTTTCGTTAAGTCGTCAGCTGCCATTGATGATGACTTATTGACGAAAACGTCTGCGCCACATGGGCGAACACACCAACCAACACCATGACACGACTAGAGGAGCAATCAGATTCAGCGATCCATTTCAAACTAGGAAAGTATTTTGGTGACATTTGCCATTTAATACCGGCATAATGGGACGACGTGCTGGCTAAAAGCGTTGACGTTGATTGCAAAACCGAAACATGCGCATTAATCAATTTCACTTAATTCCACAACACATGTACATGTTAAATGTTAGAGCACTTTGTAGGTGCTGCGCTAATGAGCATGTGATGGCTTGTTGTATTCTTATTCACTCCGCGACGAAGGCAGACGCACTCAAATCAAACGGGAAGATTAATCACGCGTCTGAAGGGTTGATCTCGATGGTCTGGTTGATTTTAATGTGTCTGTCCGTCTCTAATCCACCGGTTGCCTGCGCGGTGGGTGAATGGCGGTGCGAGAGTTCGACTTGAAAGCTTTCGGTTTCGCCGACGGCTGAAAGTTGAATGAAACGAGTGTAACTGCCGGGGCCGGCATACTAATTGTGAGGCGCATTTTTCTGCACAGTCCTCGTCTTGGTATTCGTGGTGTACAACCGGCGACGCGAGGCGCATATCAAGTATCCGGGGCCCGACGACGACGTGCGCGAAAACATCATCAATTACGACGACGAGGGCGGCGGTGAGGACGACATGACCGCCTTCGACATCACCCCCCTGCAGATACCAATCGGCGGGCCGCTGCCGGAGCTCGCACCACCCAAAATGTCATGTAAGTTTGCGCAAATATTATCACAACTGCTCATAAACTGAATATTAACCAGCAACATCAAAATGAATATGATAATGAGCTTGATTGCATTGCAAGCCGGAAAAGTCACCGTAATCCGGGCCTGGGTTTTGGAAATTTTTTTGGGCCTATATCAGTGGCCATCTTGAAAAATTGCATCAAATGATATAATCCTGAGTTATTTCGATGCTTTTAAAAAGTCCCGTGTATTTTTTTCCGCCGACAGCGAAAACGAGATGAAACTGAGCTTTTTTTCACTCAAAGATCGTCTTGCCGGTTGGTTTTTTCGCCGTTTTGGCGTACGTGTTGTCCATATTCGTGACCGGAATACGCGCAGCCACTTTGCCGCCATTTCGGCAAAATCAACTAAGGTCGAAAATATCCGGTTAAAATATCGTTTGCTCTACGGATCATATCGTAGCTTGCGCGCTCACGTCACGTCGACCTCAACTCGGGAGTCTATTAAAATAACCTTGGAGGGAGCGGAAGCAAAAGATCCTTGGTTTTATACTTTTCGGCTGTTTACTTTGAGTTTGCTTCTGGGCTCTCTCCGAATTTGCGTTCGCGGGTGATATTTTAATATGTATGCAGCATCTCTGGAAATATCTAAACGAGATACTGGCATAACACAACAATGAATTTACTCGCGGTTTCGCGATTTTTAGTAGCACCCCGCGTGCGCGCACAATGGCGCCGCGATGAAGAGATTACGTCTAATGGAATTATAATTAAATTTAGGTCGACGGATTTTATAATTTTACTCACTCCTAAATGCTTATTAAGAACTCCAGGTAAACAGAAGTTATGTAGACTTCCGCGGAATGTATACACACCTTCAAAGAGGAATTAAATATTAAAGCAACATTTTTTTGTTAAACCTATTTACAAAGGAGCGTAAAAAAGCGGGGTTTCTTTGTGTTTCAGAAAGTAGAAATTTTAATTATGTTCTTTGAGTAACCGAATATTCTTCGACAAAAGGATAAAAGCTGACAGAAGAAGTTCAAGTGAATGTAATGTGTGCGTTTTAATATATTGCCAAAGTTTGCGTTTTCTCTGGTCGAAAAAGGAATTTTCGTTTCGGATCAGATTAAAAGAAAACGCACATTGAAAGTTCCACGGGTTTTACGACTGATTTTACTACTCGAATCTCGACGTGAAACTTGTGCGGCCGGACTCTTAAAAAGTACACCGAATAAATCGTCCGCTTTTGTTTGCGCGTGTTTTTCCGCCCGCGCGTATCATTTCCATTCGGCGGGCGCCACACGTTTAAAACGCCTTCTTCCAGCGTGTACGAGGGGGCGAGACGTGCCGTGTGCACAACAAAATTGTTTTATCGCGCAACCACCCCCACGACCCGAACCATCGCGCTTTATGGTGCACCAAAAGTTTGGTTATTGCTTTCCTTTACTTTTTATTCTAGTTTATGCAACTCTGTTATAGAGTTTGTTTTGTCACGACCGTCACAATGCCTTCATTGTGCACACTCAGAGCGCGCATCATTAAGAATGGCCGGATTAAATTAAACGAGTTTGTTAATGACTGTCATATATTCGCTCGATATGAAACGCCAGAATAAATCGTTTACTTTTTGCACAATTCATGCATCAGTTCACTTCAGTTAATTCAAACTTTTTCTGATTACTTTTCTGTCGCGAAAATTAGAAATCACAAATTACATTTGCATTGTGATATAAAATTGAGTTTGTATTCAATGCATTCGACACATATCAATTGGATTGCTTTGATGTTTTGACGTTTCCGTGTTTGGCCCGGCCGCCATGTTGAATTCTTGGAATCAGCTTGTAATTGAACGCGCGTAATTCAATATGAAAAATGTCGCAGTGGCGCAGATTTCCGAGCGTGATTTACGACTGAGGCGGCGGCGGTTGTGATTTACCTGAAACCATTTGCATTCGAAAGTAGTTCCGGCGCGCGGCCGACGCGACGTTTCGAGTTTAATTCATATTCGATCGGCGGAAAGCCGCCATGGCGGAAAAGCGCTTCGCATACACATAATTCACTCGGATTTGGTCATTGAAAATCGCCCATCGACCACATTCATAACGCGAAATATGAATATGAAACGAGCATCAATGCGCTCAACTAAATTTGTCGTTAGTATTCAGTTGGTGGGCGCAATTAAGCGCCCAGTATGCGATTTGCTTCCACGGTCTATTCCAATCGTATTGTCCTAGTGGTTTATGTTCTAATTCGGGGTTGAATTTCCGCAGTTAACATCATGAGCATGGCACCCGGACAGGAGCCCAACGTTGGCGTCTTCATCGACGAGCACAAGAAGCGCGCCGACAGCGATCCGAACGCACCGCCCTTCGACGATTTGAGGAATTACGCCTACGAGGGCGGCGGTAGCACAGCTGGTTCTCTCAGCTCTCTCGCCTCAGGTTGGTTGGAGCAATCAGCAATAAATAAAACACTTGTGCCCGCAAATCTCGCGCGCGCCCACGCTTTGAAGACTGATTGTGTGATTGATTCGTTTTTCAGCTGGATCGGACGATGAACAGCAGGAGTACGACTACCTGGGCGCTTGGGGACCGCGCTTTGACAAGCTGGCTGACATGTACGGCCCCGGGGAAGAGACTGAACAGGAGGAATAAATCACAACATCAACCCCCGCGACGCACTTGCGACTTTGCGTCGAAATTTGATACTCAACACTCGAAACCAAAAATGAAGCCGAAGGCGCAAGGAAAGCTGAATCCAAAAGTGTAACCAAATAATTTAAGCTGAAAAAGGAAACTCACGACGAGGCGCACGATAAGGGCTAAATAATTGTGCGCGATAAATACTCGTAATTATGTGGATGAAATGGATATTGCAAACCAAGTACGAACGACATTCCTCTCCATCTTTCTTAGCTTACCGCGTGGCCGCCATGTTCACGTGTTCCATAAGACTGTTCTCTGCAGTTTCGCGACTGCGTTATATAATTGTAGAAAATTATATATATACAGACCACAACGTTAACATTATGATTGCATAATGAAACACTTACGAACACTAACTTGTGACTGTGTTAGGTTTCTTACTTAAAAGTTTTTAACGTTTTTCAAGTTTGAATTTGAATGTCCACTGCCATATGCACCACTCTACTACCACGGTCATTGTCTAGTTTAATTGACTCAACTCGACACTTTACGACTGTTTTCCACGAGACAAGAGAGGCGTGTGCGTAGGTTAATACATTTTTGGTACGTCCTTTTTACAAAACTTCCGACTTGTTTTAAAAAATGCTAAAATTTCAACTATCGCATAGCCTAAGAAATCAGTAAACAATACAGCATAAAGAAAAACCCGGATTCGAATGCATACATGCATAATATTATTGTTGTGAGTCTGTAATGTTGCGTATGTTTAACGACGATGACGAAGAAAAAAACCCGGAAAAGTAAACGGGCCGCAAAACGAACATCTCAAAATGTAACGTTAATTAAATGCCAGTATTCCTACCAACAATGATGAAAATTGAACATTTTAGTTGTAGTTGTACGATGATAAGGATAAGAAGCACGATATTAAAAGTGGACGGGAGGGAGGGAAGCAGGAGGAACGAAGATGAGCAAACAAGTCATTACATTCTAGGTCAAATTACAGGTGTAGAGTAGTTTAACAATGAAATATACATAAAGAAAAAAATAATTAATTAATGATAAGCGTATGCGAGGTGCGTGAATGTGCTGGATTTTTCGAACGGACTATTTAACGATGAGGAAAACTTACACGTTTAAGATGAATTACCTAATTAATATAATATATGACTAACGATAAATGATTTTAGCGGTGTGTGATTGATTCAGGTCGCACGATCGGTGACATAAGTAAGAGTAAATTAATTATTTATTGTATATAGCTCACATTGAATCACATCGTTTTGATAATAGCACTGTGCATCTCTTTGCAAGAAACCAAAATACAAAGCAAGTAACTGATGATGTATTTAATTGCCATGGACGTGATATAATAATGTTCGAGGCGTTTTTGTTAAGGAAATTGACGATCATTCGATGGGCTCACTAGAGGCAAGATAAGCGCAAAATGGAAACAAACGAGAAAATACTTTCAGTGTTGTAGTTATTATGTATATAGTTTGCGAATGGCGGAGCGAACGATTGCAAGACACAATTATACACATTCTCACTCACTCACTCACGCATGTCACACACCCAGATGACACACAGATTGTAAAATGTAATGTTCAAAAAGACATACAAGAAATACCAGAGCGAAAGAACGGTTGCGAGTCCGTGCCAATTATCCTATAACTTAAATTAATTACATGTAACAACTTCTCGAATGCTGTCTAAGTAAATTTAAACATTTAAATTACATTTACCAATTAATTACCAATGAATGGCGAATGGGATGAAATTCGACAACTAATAATCTGTGTTTGCACTTGTGTATTGTTTAAAGATGTATACTTAATATTTATATTATATATAAACAACATGAATCTTATGACGAACAATCGCACTGATCACATCACGGCAAGATCAGCAAAAGTTGTGCGACATCATTTGTTCATATTTCATTCTCATTGTGTGGAAATGCATTGAATTCCACGTGCAATTGCATTCATTGCGTTCATTTTCAACTTTTTGAGTGATTTCTAGTGAAATTTTCTGATTTTATATTGTCAATGATATTGTAGAACGTATGAACATATGATTTGTATGTAATATATGATTTCTATTTGAGAAGAATATATCTGCGATCGTTTTCTTTACGCATGAATTGTCGTGTTTTAAAAGTTTAAATCGATCATGATAGAACACACATTCATAGAAATCTCGATTGGCAACACTGCGTCTTTCTAGCGCTTCTTTTGCCCGCCAAATCGGCAGGATCGCAGGTATCGGCAGCGATAAGACAAACTTCTGATAGTAAATTTGTTGTTCACTATTTAGTATTTGTCGCCGCGTGGCCGAGTAAAGACGTATTGTTGTGTTGTGTTCTGTGCATTGCAGTGTCTCTGATGAGGTGATCAACAACATAATAAGGTATGTTCTGTATATGTAAATTTGGTAACGCGAAAAGGTGATAACAATAGTGTATAGACACTTGCTGTTGTTTTGTTAGGAATTAATTAGATTTCAAGTCGTTTCTAGGTTGCTATATTGTTTCTGATCTAATACTGAACGAGAAACCTGTATTCACATCGTAAACAAACAACGAATACTCTTTCATAATTTCAAGTTCGTTAATTTTATGTTTGTCGAATAGCTGAGTTTTGATCAAAACAATGAACTGATTTCAATTTTCCGGGTACATATCACGGTGAATGAAAGTATCGTGATCGTTACACACATTTGAAACTGTTTAAAATTTTATTCATCCTGAAATTATCAAAAGATTTTATGGAATTTATATTCAATTTCCGCAGAACAGTAGAACGTTAACCACAATGAAGGAAATTTCATTAATTTTTTTCACTAGTCTTGCGTTGATTCTGGAAAAGACGTTTTTATCTTCTTTACTGTGAGTTTTGCTTCCTTGCTAGTTATTAATAGTCGTTAATATTGGAATTCGTGTTTCCGCTGAAAGAATTTAATTGAGAACGAGAATTTAATTAAATACATTTCACTATGATTATAATTTCGATAAGAATAGACGAAGTTGTCAGACAGTAATTGAAATGAGTTTTTTTTTCTCTTTTTTGTTTTGCGTAAATTGCAAACACGTGCAATAATACGTAATTATTACTCTAATCGAATCGCACTTTGATTACAGTACATATAACTAAAAGATAACGAATAATCGAATCGTGGACTGTCAATACTTGACCATTTATTGTGAATACTTTCATTTAACATCCATTCAATATATTTTTCACATATATGTTCAACAGACTCCTGATCACAATAATTGCTCTAACTTTGACTGCTAAAGGCAATGCCTCGATTGCCTCCGTGTTGATTGCACATAAGTTATTAACATACAAATAAAAAGCTTTATGCCAACAGTGATATAAACTATAAAACAACAAAATAGATACGCGTACAATTTTTCCAATAAAAAAATTGCGTCAACAAAACATTTGTAAGTAGTAATAAAAACATGTGTACAACATAGATAAATAAAAGACGAAATATTTGCCCCGTGCATTATTTCATTTCGTTAATATTTGGTATCTAAATATGGTATCCCTTGAGTTTGCAACTGCGACTTACGCTAAATAACAATGACTTCTTAGATAACGCGAACACAATTCGCCAAACATCATCACCATCGCACTGAAATTTCGCTAAATCTTTTGACTACTTTGATCCACGCGCGTCTTCACCAGCGCACGAACTCTTTGTACTCGTCGTTCACCGATACTCTTTTTATTGTCTCGTATCCTAGTATAATGCTAAAGCTAAATGACGCGGATTGTATCAGTCGTGCACTCAAGCCCTTGCAAAACATGAGCATGCCCTCTTCGCGCCAAAGGTCTCGGAAAGCTATCCTCATCGACTCCAGCCGCTGCACTTGCAGACGTGCGCGCACCACATCGAGAGGATTCGTTATTATGGTTGTCGTGAATCCTCCGAGAGTGCCGGCGATTGTTTGAATGAGTAAATGAGATACATGAGAAGGTAATATATTGTGCAATTCATCTGCAAATATTACCAAACAATTAGAATAATTATTTAGAGAGAAATCAAATGATTACCTTGATACAGATGATAAAATGCCCACCAAAGTGCCGAATTAGGAACATATGCACATAAGCTTGCTGTATAGCCACGATAAAAGCCACCAATCCCATCAGTTTTCAAAATATGTTTGATAACTTCAGTGGTTAAAGTAAGACGCGAAGCGCCTTCATATTTTATGCCCAATGGATTAAATTCAACCTAAATATCAAATTAAAGCAATGCAATAAGGTTTAAATTATTATCGAAATGGATACTCACTGATGATGAACCTTTATTTTGTACTCCCATCATCATCAAATGTTGGCTGATGACATCAAATGGCACAATAATTGTCTGTCCAACAAGTGATGCTGATCCACCAGCAACTAGTGCCCTAATTCTGGAGTCAATTTGTTTTTGTGCAAGTACATGTCTGACTCCCTCATATGTTGATACATAAAAAACACCTAAATCACATGTTTTAGGTGAGTTACTCATGTGCACCAAGATTCAAGTTTTGCTCACCACTAAATATTTGAACTGATGATATCCAGAAGCCTCGATACAGCCCAACAAAGCCTTCACACCCCAGAATTTTCCTGTAGGCATCAATCATGCCTGTGTACACATTATTGTGCTTCTGTATCTGGAGACGCGTCTTTATCAGCGTGAGTGGATAAAGCGCACAACGTACAGTGAATGAACTCAGCATTGATAATGGAAAAAACTTAGCTTTGTTCATCATTTCCCATTCAATGGTACGAATGTACGGATCCGACTTTTCCAGTGAGGTCTCCATCGTCCAACGTGCGCAGCGAGCGTTGTTATGAGATAAATGAAACTGCTTTAGGATATCATTATTGCTTTGATGGTGAAATATTTAAATTTTTCACAATAGTGTCTCATAACTTTGGGCCGTGACGGATGCGGACGAGGGTGAATTTCATGTTTTCTTGAACGACTGGGCACTGGTGCTAGCGACGCTATGTTATCATAATTTTGTACGGGCTGTCTGAATTTGGTGCGGTCGTTGGAGAGCACGACTTAGCTCGCCCTACGACTTTGTTTTGTTGACAATTGACATGGACATTGGCATGACAGATAACAGCAGGAGCCATCAGCAGGAAAATTACGTTATGTTCGAATGCCACTGTCTAGTTAGTTTGTTTTCGTTGGGATTGCAGCACTGCTGATTCCCCCACCAAAAGGTTATTCAATAATCGAATGAGACAGGGAAGTTGCTTCTCAAATTAATTTATTTATCTATGAAAGCTAAATTAAATACTAGTACATCCACTTTTATTGTTTGAAATAATACATTGATACTTATTTAGTTTATTTTATTTTGAAGAACTAGTACAATGGCATTGGTGGCTGATGTATGATTATGCCTTGAACAAAAAGTGGAGTATAACTTGCACTTATCTCCAAACAATAATGTTTCTTTTTTACTATACAATAACTATGACAGACACTTTATTCGCACGCCTTCACTAACGCTTCGCCGACTTCCACGGCGATTTGTCCCTCTGCACGTGCCTGTAAAAAGAGAAATATATATTCATATAGTCATTCATATAGTCAGTCATATATATTTTGGTCGTTAAACTAAATGAATGTTTTCTTACAACGTCAGTGGTGGCAGAAGAAAGTTGACTTTGCGCCTTGCTCAGAACGTCACGCGCGGCAGAGATGTCTAGGTTATCAACTGGGCAGGCTTCTTCAGCCAAAACCTGTAATATTATTTAATAAGTTACATAAAAATAATTTTAAAGCCACAAAATGTAAGTTATTATATACCTGTACTGAGGAATCATCATTGATGGTAACAGTGCCACTAGAAACAAAGTATTTCTTGGAACCACCCTCATTCTCAATAACAGTAACCACTCCAGGTTTCAACACAGCCAGGGTGGGCACATGTTTAGGCAGGATACCAAATGCTCCAGAGAAGGATGGTACATCCACTTGCCTTACTGACACACCATTGTAGAAGACCTAGATAACAAATAGCATTAGACTTTCAGTTTTAAAAGTTAGCTGCATGCATTGTACCTGGTTGCCAGCAGCAAAAGTGAAGTTCATTTCGTCGGCATAACCGCGCTTTGCGATATTGTTCAGCGAAGAACGTGTGAGCAGACGGGAGAAGGAACGTACGGCAGCCATCTCTGTAAAGAAGTGATATTCTCAGTCAAAATCAAAGATGTAAGACCTCTAAATACAGTTATCAATTCAGTGTAACCTCAAATATTACATAATCTCAAATGAAAAAGAGATCAAAGATAGACTATTAATTCAATGTTGGGATTAAAGCTGGCATTGTTTGAAAGATTATAATTGTTTTATCATTTGCTTACTTACTATTTTGTTGAAGTAAGTAGAAAACTTTGAGAAACCGCACAACTTGCCGTACTCAATTAATGATTCCTTGTCAACTTGGGGAATGTTTTGCGCAGAGGTTGGTGGAACGAGCTGTCATGCAGCGCCCTCTCGCATCGTTCTTTAAAACTAAAACTACTTTCACCTTCATCCAGCTGCATGTTACACAGAACTTAAGATTTTCTTTTGAAGTTAAGGAAAAAATCATGTTTTTAGTTTAATTATAAAGTGTTTTTGTTTGTAACCACTTGATGCATACATTAAAAACCGTTCGTTAGTGATTGTTTCCCACTGAACTTAGGTGAACTAGACGGTAACAAAGTCCAATTATCGATTATATAACGTGTTTATGCTGATACATCATAAAAACTTTTGAAAACATTTGTAAATTTTTACATCATTTCAAATATGAAACCAATTAATGTAGGTGTTCTTTCTAAAATCCCAAACCTATTGCGAGAACTGCAAGTGAAACTAACCTCTGATTCACTATTAAACCTAGCAAGAGTTACTGCAATTAACAACTGTGGAAATTCCAAAAATGATTTTAAAGATATAGACGTAATTGTTGCTGATTATGATTTAGTAGGGCCGCATTTATACACCTTGGAAAATGTTAAGTTTATACAAGGTACCTGGGCGGGTATTGATGCTTTACTTCCGCATATTAAACCGGAATTGAAATTAAATGTACCGATATTTCGGTTTTCCGGCAACCATTTTGGAAAAATCATTTCCGAGTATGTTGTTGCATGCATTGTTAATCACGAAAGGGACTTTTTTAAAGTGCATGATAATCAATGCGGGAAGAAATGGTCACAAGAAGGGAAAATTCACACTTACAGAACAATTTATGATATGACCATTGGTGTGATGGGTGTGGGCCAAATTGGCAGTAGATGTAAGTTTACAAGAGACATTATTAATCAAAATTTAATCTAATAATCATTTTTAGTGATACAGACTTTAAAATTTATGGGTGCCAATGTCCGTGCTCTTGGTCGTCGGTCTACTATTGATAAGAATGAATTTCATTTCGTTGATGAATATTTCCAATCAACTGAGTTGAGTGCATTCCTGGGAAAATGTGATTATATCGTTAATACTTTGCCGAATACAGCAGAAACACGAGGGTTGCTTAATCATCCAAAGTTAGAAGCTTGCAGAGGTAATTACTACCACAAACAAAACAAGTACTAAACCAATCTTGATTTGTTGTTATTGTGTGTTAAGATAAAAGTCCTGTTTTTATTAACGTCGGTCGAGGAGGAATCATCTCCGATGAATCTTTATTCCAAGCAATAGATAACAATTTGTTGTCACACGCGTATTTAGACGTTTTCAATCAAGAACCGTTGCCGGAACAACATTTATTTTGGACATCACCAATGGTACATATATTAAAGTAGTTTTTTTTTTATAATTACCTGACTTAATCCTCATTTTTAGATTAAAATTACTCCACATGTGGCAGCTACGAGTCGACCACAAGACATCGCCGAGCAATTCATAGAAAACTTTAACTTATTTCATAAAAATGAAGTTGTGCCTTCCATGTTAGATTTTTCTAAGGGATATTAATTGATGTACAAAATATATTTTTATATCTCCAACTTTTATTGGTTTATTTAGATATAAATAAGAAAAAAACGTGGTTATGGTGATTCCCGCACATTAAAGCAATTCCTTATCATCATGTAAAACACAACTACACTGATCAAGTCAGTGAATGTTAATCATAATATGTGTATATGCAACATGAAATCTTTTGTGAATTACAAAATCCCACAGACTTGTGATTGTGTGATTCACCAGTAATATGGATCATAAAAAGTTCTTCTCAGTATAAAAGCACATCGATCTTTTCAAACAGCATCAGTTCAGCAACTGCAAGCAATTGAACAAGTTCTTAATTAAAACAAAAAAAAAACTTAACAACAAATAACATGGTAATTAATTGAAATACTCTACATATAAAACAATAATATAATAATTTAATTTCTTTTTCAGATGTTTGTGAAACTTGGAGTTTTCCTCGCTTTGGCTGCCATTGCCATCGCTTATCCAACGAACTTCAACGATAATGAAATTGACTTCAACGGGGAATTGAACCAGTATGTGCCGCTAGAGGATGTGGTCGAATACCAGCCGCTGTACCTTGTGCGCGCACGCCGCGAAATCCAATTTGATCCGCACGTAAATAAACAGGACGGCACCACCAACGCAGGCGGTTCCATCACTCACCGGGGCGACAATCATGAAGTCACCGGTCACTGGAACAAGAATGTTGCTGGACCCGGCAGATCAAGGGCTAACTATGGTGTTCGTGGCAGTTTCAAATGGTAAATAAAACTTCATTGAAATTGTAATGGAGAGTTTAATTCTGATTATTGGAAAGCTTTAAAGTTCAATGCGGCTGTCTTATTTTATATTTCAATTTATTATAAATTATTATGTATATGATAACATACAATTTAATTAACTTTGTGGAATAAAATACAATAGATGCTTTGAATATTATCCATTAAAAAGATTTATATTCACCGGTTCAGACTAAATTAAAACATCTAGTTTCTAGTTTGGCTCCGTAGTAATTTTGCCGAGTGCCGCTAGTAGTACCAAAACTGGCGCTATGCATTCATAGTTTAGATATGTAGGAGCGATACTTGTATGTAAACAAATCTTTTGTTGCGTTCAGCGAACGTATCGCGCAATACTGATAGTGACCTCGTGTTGTCGCTGTTAACTGTGTGCAGTTCGGCGCAGATGCTGTTCCATTTCGGCCGTCGGATGAATCGCGCGTGTGCATCGCGACTAATCCTATTTCTTCAGATCATAATTACTTGTTCATAAATTAACGGCATATACAAGAATCAGGCGTGACTAGGGTTCTACAAGTGTGATGGCTCGCGTGGAGTGTTTATCAATCGCGGATTCATTTTCGGATTACCTCTGCGCGCATGTGTCCGCCGATATTCCGCCGGCATTAGGTACTCTTTTCACACATTAGAATAAATTGGATTTATAATTAATTTGTGCAAGTAGGCAATACTGGTACCCAGGGACAAAGTTTGTGAGTGCCCAAACCATGGCAATATCTAAAGCGGTGTTGGAGATGCGCGTATTTTAAGGTAAGTCTTCACTTCTGCAGTATCTTCGTACTGTTGATATTTGTTTATTTAACATAATGTATCTGCTGTTAAATACTGTCAATAAAGCACATGTAAAATTATAGTCTAGTTCATATTTCTTTGTGGTATCCTCTTTGTCGTTTTCAGTATTGACGTATTCACTCATATTGCATATAAATCTTATGCGCCGGGAATCAGTGCAACACAGCTAAGGCTTGTATTGTTGTTTTTAAAAAATTTGAATAAAGTAGAAACATAAATAGAAGAATCAAATATTAATGATAAAAACACTCGGTGGTCGAGTGGAGACGTGCACCTGCTGGCATGCTAGCAGGCACGGATCGAATCTCAGGTATAGAAGGCATTTTTCTCAAATATAAAAATATCAGCTGCAATTTGGGTTGCATATATGAATTGCAACGAAATATAAGAGAAATTGAAATACAAGGGAAGGCAATATGAGAAATATGAAAGCAAGTGGAGGAGCGGGAACAGAGAAATAGAAGAAGAACAAGGAGTAGCAGAGAAGAGTAGAGACCGAAGGAAGAGAACAGAGTAAGAAGAGGAGAAGATAGAAGAAAGAGAGAATAGGGGTGACGGAATTTTTAAATTTTTTTGGCACGTGTCGTTATAAGACAGCCCACTGCTTCGATGTGTCCATTGCTCCCGGCCCATCCTACAGCTACGATGTCTCTGCGCTTCATCCCCGAAATTATCAGGCATATCAACAATTTTTATGGTGGGGGATCACCCCCAGAGAGAGGGAACTCCTTATAAGGACAATCCTTATAACGTCTTGTAAAAATATTTCTAAGTTTTAAGTCGCCGCAAGAGAGGTGACACTTAAAAATATTCTTACCAGTTCTGACCTGTACCTGAAATGAAAGAAGGAGTACACAAATCACACAAGATACCTTAACAATTTTAATAGTGGGGATCATCCCCTGAGAGAGGAAACTCTCTTAGAGACCTGTTCCTGAAATGATAGAAGGCAAACACACAAATCAAAGAAGTCAATATATCTTACTATTTCTTTATTAATAATAGAATACAAGTTTAGATTTTACAAGTCAACAAAATACATGTTGCCATATTGAAACAGGACTTACGACCTGCTTAGCCGCACATATGCCAGCAAGTACTACTTCATAAAGTTCTACTAGGATAATAAAATTAGTAAATAGCCAATTTTCTAGGTGACTGAAAATGGAAACAAATATAAAGGGTGTTACAAAAGAAAAATTTAAAGTGTAAACAAAAAAACTCTCAACACTAATATCATTCGTTTTTCACCCGAGACTCAGCGAAACTAATATACAGGGTGTCACAAAAAGAAAATTCAAAGAGCAGTGAGAAAAACCCTAAAAACACCATATGAAGCCAAATTTTCACGGACACAAAAGAAAACTGATATACAGTGTGTACCAGAAAGAAAATACCAAGTTTAAAACAATGAACATTCAAAACTCACAAATAAAGACAATCTTCTACGTGAGGTTAGGAAAACTAATATACAGGGTGTTACAAAAAGAAAATTTTCGAAACTACAAAGATAATCAATATTCACATCATGACACGGGAAATTTATATGGAAATAACAATATTTTAATATAAATCCAAAGATTTCACTGGGAAATTATCGGGAAATTAAGCAAAAAGGTGCTAGAAAAGAAAACAATTACATTTTAATATATTGTGAATATATATTTATTAATTAATTAAACCGACAGGTGAAGCATCATCATAAATTGATAGAATATCCGGCGGAAAACATCTAAATCAACACACGGCAACACAGTGGTTAAAGACGACAAAAATAACTATTTCTTTGTAAATATTAAGATATACTAAGGCTGCAAAAATAAAAACTATTCACCGTTCAGATTTTATTTCAACAATAAATTATTCATTTAATGATGCCATTTGATTAAAATGTTTCGTGATCATCGAAAACATGACCGAACCGACGGCCGACGGAAAAGTGAGCGCGGTCGACAACATGAATATTATCAATTTAATAATCCTCAGATAATTATAAAAACCGTGCTTGTAATAATTAAATTAAGAATGTTATTTTCGGAAACGCGACTAAGAAGAATTCGGAAAAAAAATGCCACCACGTGTTTGTAATCCACAAAATTAATATCCTTCAGGTGGAATAACTAATTTAAGTTAAATCCCCTTAACTTTCCGCGATAAATTTTATTTATCCACCTACCTGTGGATGATGAGGAGATTTTCTATCCTGAAATATATTCTATCAACTGAAAACTCGCGCAGGGATTAACGTACACTTATTTCTCACTTAAGAAGACTCTAACCGCCATAAATTATTAAACAAAACAGGCACACATGTCCGTCCCGAATATTTAGCTGATGGCCGAAAGAATACACGACGATTAATCCAATTAAAATCTTAAAACGCATGGCGACCAGAGAGACACGTTCGCGTACCACGCGGTGAAACGACTGCCGTGTACGCCGCGCGTAACCAGGTACAAGGCAGGTACGCAGCGATAACACGCGTCACTCGAACAAAAAAAGTTGTTTATACACAAACGTACTAATAAACACGTAGTTGAGAATACTAAACTAAAATTTACAGTATTGAAATAGTACATATACACGGAATCTACTGTTACTTTCAATATTTATCGGCTTAAGAAAAGAATATTTATTGACTTGCAATTTAATTTACCGTTACAAATAAATAATTTATTGTCTTCGTAAAAATTTACTGTGTATCTTAGATAATTAATTAATTAAAATTAATTTAAATATTCACTTAAATGGGCAAAAGGGAGTGCGGCGTCATGTTTCTTTGAGTATTTTTGGTAAGAAATATCATTTAAACAAAAAACGTTGGAGACCAACGGATAAAATATTATGAAATTTTGGAAAATTCTCTATCAGATAAAAGTATAAAAGAATTAAATTTCCTGGCCTAAAACGTCCAAAAATATTTTATATTTTATGAATACGACTCACTTCTACCGCTACCTTCGAACGGTGCCCGGAACACGAGTCACTTCTACCGCTACCTTCGTACGGTGCCTTGAACACGAGTCACTTCTACCGGTACCTTCGTACGGTGCCCTAAACACGAGTCACTTCTACCGCTACCCTCGTATGGTACCATGAACACGAGTCACTTCTACCGCTACCCTCGTACGGTGCCATGAACACAAGTCACTTCTACCGCTACCTTCGTACGGTGCCCTAAACACAAGTTACTTCTACCGCTACCTTCGTAGGGTGCCCTAAACACGAATCACTTCTATCGCCACTCTGCTACAGTACACCGAATGAGACTCCACTAAATACCGAGTTCTACAACGCAAACACACAACTTTCAATATAACTTGCCTATCGGAATTTTCTCGCAATAAATTTCAATACAGGGAGATACGGAATTAAATTCTGCATCTGGGAAAACTATTCCGAACTTATTGTGACACCGCGTTCGCGTGTTATAAATTTAAAAAAAAACTACAATCCTAAGCGCTACGAGTATCAGTGCGTAAACACACAACTTTCAATATAACTCGCGTTACGGAATATTCTTGCAATAAATTTTAATACAGGGAAATATAGAATTAAATTCCGCATCTAGGAAAATCATTCCGAACTAAGTTTAAGACCGCGTTCGAGTGTTATAATGAAAAAACTACAATTCCTAGAGCAACAAGTGCAAGTAAAAGTGCGTATACACACAACGATGATTATAACTCGCGTTGCGGAATTTTCTCGAAATAAATTTCGGTACAGGGCAATAAAGAATTAAATTCCGCATCTGAGAAAATTATTCCGAACTAAGTTTAAGACCGCGTTCGCAAGTTATAATAAAAAAAAACTACAATTCCTAGCGCAACGAGTACAAGTACGTATACACACAACTACCATTATAACTCGCGTTACGGAATTTTCTCGCAATAAATTTCAATACAGGGAAATAAAGAATTAAATTCCGCATCTGGAAAAATTATTCCAAACTATATTTAAGACCGCGTTCGCGAGTTATAATAAAAAAAACGACAATTCCTAGCGCAACGTGTTCGAATACAAGCGCGTATACACACAACTATCACTATAACTCGCGTTACGGAATTTTTTGGCAATAAATTTCAATACATGGAAATAAAGAATTAAATTCCGCATCTGAGAAAATTATTCCGAACTAAGTTTAAGACCGCGTTTGCAAGTTATAATAAAAAAAACTACAATTCCTAGCGCAACGAGTACAAGTGCGTATACACACAACTTTCAATATAACTCGCGTAAAGAGAAGAGTATGATAGGGGGGGTGCTTGATACTTTTTCTCGACGATTTTCAAAAATTCATATCTCTTAAACTAAAAGAGATAGCAACCAACGAATTGTTGATTATGAAAGATTGGAAAATTCTCTATCAGATAAAAATATAAAATAATTATATTTCCTACAGTAAAAGGTCGAAAATACACACAACTATCATTATAACTCGCGTTACGGAATTTTCTCGCAATAAATTTCGATACAGGGAAATAAAGAATTAAATTCCGCATCTGGGAAAATTATTCTGAACTAAGTTTAAGACCGCGTTCGCGAGTTATAATAAAAAAAACTACAATTCCTAGCGCAACGTGTTCGAATACAAGCGCGTATACACACAACTATCACTATAACTCGCGTTACGGAATTTTCTCGCAATAAATTTTGATACAGGGAAATAAAGAATTAAATTCCGCATCTGGGAAAATTATTCTGAACTAAGTTTAAGACCGCGTTCGCGAGTTATAATAAAAAACCACAATTCCTAGCGCAACGAGTACAAGTGCGTATACACACAACTACCATTATAACTCGCGTTACGGAATTTTCTCGCAATAAATTTTGAAACAGGGAAATAAAGAATTAAATTCCGCATCTGGATAAACCGCATTCGCGAGTTATAATAAAAAAAACTACAATTCCTAGCGCAACATGTTCGAATACAAGCGCGTATACACACAACTATCACTATAACTCGCGTTACGGAATTTTCTCGCAATAAATTTTGATACAGGGAAATAAAGAATTAAATTTCGCATCTGGGAAAATTATTCCGAACTAAGTTTAAGAC